TTAACATGTCTGATTTTTACAAATGAGCCATTGTTGTAACCAAAAATGTGTAACCAAAAGTTTACACATTTACTTAGGTATACAGGTTTGCTTTTGCAAATCGCTTTAATTGAGCCTAGGTTGTAGTTTTTAGACAACAATACCATTGCTTGTTAAGTGAAAAAAATAACGGTATTAACAAAAATTAAACATTTAATTGTTCATACATATTTATTGTAACTAAATGATAATTTGTAGAAAAAAATTCGGTCAACCAATACCAATAGTTATTGATTAACAAACCAACCCCATTTGTCAACTAGACCTTACGGTATGCAATTACCGAGATTCACTGGAACGCGATTACCCGCAAAACCGGCGGGAAACTGCGAAATCGATTCCGGTGAAAGTATCGGACTCGCTTTAATCGCGACCACGGGCTCGTCAATTTCTCGTCGGTTATTCGTCGAGCAGCGACAGAAACGTAGTCCAGTCGATGTTGTTATCACGACGATAATGTCAGCCTCGAAATTATGCCACTAGGTGAAGCAAAACGACGCCGTTGTCCCCTTAGGAAAGAAAAAAAGCTGTCGTAAACGGTGAGCGTCTCGCGTACGCATGAAATTTTCACGACCTGAATACTTATCGATTTCAGAAAAAAAGGTATCTAGATTACGGCAAAAGGTAAAAAAGCTGTTCAATTAATTCGTAACCCGTCGTGCATCTCGTGAACAGTTGAACTCTTATCGTCCCCGTGGACAGTTATTGTGAATTTCGATTAAATATACGAATTACTTCGTTTCTGTATAAAATAATGACTAGACTGCGGAAGTTTATGGAAAATCAAGATTTTAGATACTAATATCGAAAAATAAAAATTGAGAAGAATTTTGAATTTTGTACTAGAGGTTTTACTACGTTAGTAATAACATATAAATAGTATTAGACTTTATTAAAATCTTGATTTTATTGGGTTTTCCAAATTAAGGGATGCTACAAATGCATAAACATCCGCAGTCTAATAATGACTAGTTCGCATGACTTTGTAATGAGTGACTATTCAAAACTCCAAGGCTTCCTTAAAAATCAGACAAACTGATATGAAGTTATAAACAAAAGTAGAGGTTCAGAAAGTTACAGCAAATTTTTTCTTCCATTAAACATATTAAATAATAATAAATAGAAATAAAAACTTATGTTTTTCGATAATTAATACAAAAAAATATGCGATAATGTCATTTCTTAAAGTGTCGGTAATTCGCTCTTTTACCCTAGTTGATTCGTTGAACTTGGCCGAGTGATCTTTTTAAATTTCACCGCCCGGATTGGTGTGCGCATCGCGGGACACGCTTCCAGAACGCGCGCGCAATGCGGGGAACTGGAATTCCCTCGCGTACGAACGATACGTCGTGCCTTTCGTTTTCGGTTTCAGTTGCATGCGCGGACACCGTCTCCCAAGTGGGCCACCGTGTGGCCACGAAGCGGAATAGATTAAGTGTCCGATGCACAGCACGGCGATACACGTCTTCCACAATTTTGTAGACACTTTTGGAGAAAAGTAAATGGACGCAATACCGGTCGATTGAAATATTTAAATAAAAAATCGTCAGCTTATGCAGGGTGCGCGACGAATCGGTCCTCACGATTTTCTTGGCAGTTCCGATCATCAAAAAAAAAAAATGATGGGACCAAAACATAATCAGTATTCAATCGACGAGAAATTGCAAGTTTAAAAATGGCCGAAACAATTTCTGTCGAATAAGAAATGGGAGTTACGATAATTTTTTTTAATGAGACTATGTATTTTTATGTTTATAGTATTATAAGTGATGTCAAGACGAATATCAATGACCTTGGGATGACCTTGAAATCAGAAATCGTCACTAATCGATCGCCAGGATATTTAACCTGTCCAATTCGGGGCCGAAAGAAATTCTTTCCACGCATACTATAAACAACTTAGTTATTTATTACAGCAGAAAGTTTCTGCACTCTCTGTGTTACGACCCGATCGCTCTGAAAAGGCAAACGAGCCTATACTACGAAGAAATGTCCTCGATGGTCTCCTTTCCGTTGGAAAAAAACATCGACCGATTTACGAGGTGCAAACCGCCTCCTTTTTGCCTTGCTCGCCAGCTAAGACTAAAGAGGAAAGAAGATCCTCCTATGTACACACTTCGCGTTGACTGCATCGGGAACACCGCTAAATCCAAAATCGAGAAGTAGAATCATTAGCGGTATAAGTGATAAACCCTTTCGTTCCCACTGTTACTACAATGCCACGTATTCGAAATTACGAAATAAAAAATAAGCATCATAAATTTTTTCATATCTGTGAGTTCATATAGTTCTTCTAGTCTTGTATAGATGGTACGATCTATATGTTTATGTTCCTTTATGGTTGCTAACTATAACAATTTTAATTATTACTTTGTTCTTAGAAAAGCGATTTTTCAGTTTTGTTTAAAATTTACCGTCATGCTATATGTCGTTAAATTGTTCTTTCTATTAGCAAGAACGTGGTATTAAAAAAAGATGCATTAACCGTGAAAAAACTGAAGGTCACCTCAATATCTAAAAAAAAAAATAAGATAAGAAAAATCAAATTCATTAAAACGTTTTCTGATGCAATCAACAGGTAACAAGTTATTTTAGATAGTGCTTCTTATTAACTCACTCTGCAGGTGTCACCGGATACAGTTCGCCCGCATAATTTATTACAAATCAAACATTGAAAAACTGGCCTACCAGCCTCGGGTCTCCCCTGTATATTAATTAGAAAATCTGTTAGTGGAACTAATGGGACAGGATCGAAGTATCGTTGTCGATAATGAAATTGGGCAGTTCTCATTAACCGATTCGCAGGGAGATCATCATCGTGGCCTGTGATCAAGCCGAACTGGACCAACCCCAGTCCAACGGCGTTTAGAAAGTTCGTCGTTTAATCGTGATATGGTCGCTGAAATTGTACAATCGAAAATGACCTTGTTAACGCTGCGCCAACCAACCTCTAACAAGGCCAAATCCGCGTCAATGCTCGCCGGGCGCGGCGAGCCCGTCAATCGCGAAAGGAAGAGGCTAGTAATTAATACGTCGATGCGACCTTTGAATTAACGCAACGGTACAAAGATCGCGGCGAGGTGCGGTGCACTTTCACGACCGAACCGATTGCAGAGCATACGTCTCTTGACGAATAGACATCGTTGGAAGATCAAACTTAACACAAACAACTTCATTTCTTTGGTAAATATTTACAATAAAAGAGCCACCTACGATTTCGATGATTTATCAATATGTTCTCGAGGTCATCACGAAGGTTTTAGTTGGGGGTGACCGTTTTTTTAAAAAATTTTTTATGAAAGAAAAGTTACTTTTCTTGTTGAACTGTCTGTAACCATAATCATTCAGAGTTGGTTAGAGACAGTTCAAGAAAAAGGTATCATTGTTCTGTTGATATCTTTTTAATAAATGACATTTGATAACTGAAGTTTTCTGAAGGTCACTCAAGAGGGTGACCTTGGTAACATATGCTAAGGTGAAGGTCATCGGTCATTTCACTTATCAATATTGTTACAGTGTAATACTAAAGTTTTTTTAATAATAATTTTCTTACAAACAGCGAAAACCTTCGCAATACTACTCAGGGTGATGATTTGACAACATATTAAAAAATCATCGAAATCGGAGGTGGCTCTTATATTACAAAGATTTACCATTTTTTTTCTGATTCGCGACTCGGACGTTGGATCGCGTGGATGCGAGTGTTTTCATTAGAGGCACGTGAATGACGCCGGAGTTATCGGTCGGGCAACGCAATAATATCGTTGCCGAGTAGCCAGAGATTACGGTATCTAAAATAGAATATTTACATTTTGCAAACGGACTTCAATCGTCTGCGTAATCAACGCTGCGAATTTTTCGGTTGTTCTTCCTGAAACTCGAGGCCGATCGCAACCAATAATACCAAATAATACATAATCAAACCCTGCAGTATTTAAGGACACTATCTTGAGTCAACACTTTCAACAGTTAGTGAGATTAAATGTCGACTCGTTCAAGAAGTATTATTTTATTATGAAAATTGTAATTTCCACGTTTAATCGATAAAAAATGACGAAGTACTTTCTTACCTTGGAAAACAACGATCGGCGGTTTAAGTGCCTCCACCTAGCAGCGAATTTCACAAGTCGAATCTAAGGGTTGAAACGACCCCCTCCCCTTCCGAGGCTCTCCACGATCGATAAACCCGTCAAACACAACTCGTCAATCCTGAAACCCAAAATCGTTCATCCCAAAAACAACTCCACGTCTCCAAATACTCAAAATCATCACCTCCCACATGTCCCCCTAAAAAATCATCACTCAAACGTTTCCGAATCGTCGAGTACATATACGAATTCGAATCTAAGGGTTGAAACAACCCCCTCCCCTTCTAAGGCACTCCACGATCGATAAAACCGTCGACCGCAACTCGTCGATCCTGATACCCAAAATCATACATCCCAAAAACAACTCCACGTTTCCAAATACTAAATAATCATCAACCATCTCCCTACCAAAAATCATAAAAATCAAAAGTTTCCGAATAGTGCGCGGTACTCTTCACGAACGAAACCAACGATACGTGGGCGGTGGTCGCGCACGCGTGCGTATTATCGATAACCGAGGTCCAACGAGGGTGAGCAGAAGGGAAGAGTCCGCGTGTGGACGCTTGACGGATCGAAAGGTCGCGAGGGGGCGAGGGACAGAGACGACGAATGGAAAGACAGGGCGACCCGCGTGAACTAGTCAATCGTAGTCAGTCGTGGAACGGTGTTTCGTTGGCGTCCTCTCGCGAGGACGAACATCGGGAATCGTTCGCAGGCGTCGTGAACGAGAAAACTGATCAGTGGCCGTTGCAGAACCGGTACAGACGCGTGGTGGGGCTGGGGTACCACAGTGGTAGGGACGCTGCACGAGCCAGGTGAGCGTCGGTGGTCGGGTGAAGGGAACGAATTACACGAACGGAAAATACGTGCAAGATGTCGGTGAACAATACCGTCGGCAGACAGACGGATCGTATCGACATCGAGAAGCCGTACTGGGATCAGAACACGTATCAAGGAAGAGCATGAACCTATTCGCCGGCAACCAGAAGCTCGAGATCGCTCGAGATGTCGTCACCAAGTACAGGTATTCCCCGACGTGTGATAGGTGGCGGTGTTTCGCAACTTCTAATGTTTTTTAATGAGAATTACTGCAGACGGTCCGTGCGTGTGCGATATTTAATTATTAAAGTGGGATGAATTAAAAAGACAAAAAAAAAAGGAATTCAGCTTTTTCTCTTAACAGTATATATATATATACGTCGTGACGTAACCATACCCAGATGGCACATGACGCCTGGAAGACGTCTTAAAGGCGTCTTAGACAAGGTGGTCTTTAAGGCGTCATGTGCTATATGGGATAAGACCACCCTGAAATTTTTAGTTCTGATATATTGCGGTTAAAATAAAAACGAACCAAGCCATGTCTGAAATCGTGTTGGGAAATAATGTTTATTCGGGAAAGGATACATTGTATTCCCTGGAGAAAAAGTGGTTTGCTTTTTGTTTTAACCTTTCCTGTTTAGCGAATGTGGTAACAATAGAATTACCAGTATTAAATGCTGCTAAGTTAAAATGTGTAACATATTAATACGTGTAAAATGTACTGCAGTATAACGTAGTACACTATAATATAAAGTGCACAAGAAATTAGAGGTTAACATAAATCCCGATAAAAGTATCTCTAGAATTTCAGTAATCGTAAAATCAAAAATTAGTCATTTTTACAGGTCCGGTAATTCTAGTGTTAAGAATATTTGTACTCTTCTTATTGTGTTGCGTGTCGACATTTATCGGCTAATTGTCGCTATCGCTATTATTACCATACACATTCTATTTCCGAAATTCACCAAGTACAACCTGTAATTACTGTCTCACCTCACTCATAAGACAACTGCTTATTTTACCTCATTTCCGTTTTCTTCCGTTTGTACAAATTTCCGTTATCCGAATGCTATGTCTCGCGCCCTGTTCATGTTGCCCAGGGCAATTACAACGTTCGATTACACCAATCGGGAAGCTTACCGAACCCCAACGCAATAATATATCTATTCCGAAACCTTTTAGCATCGTTTTCCGTGACCGACCAGTTCGTTCATCGCGATCATCTGATTGATACAGGAAAGGCAGTAGCTTGGAGCAGCTGGGAATCACGGAGGCAGACCTATGGAAGTACAAGTACCTGTACGACAGTGCCTACCACCCTGACACAGGGGAGAAAATGCTGCTGATCGGTCGTATGAGCGCCCAAGTGCCCATGAACATGATGATCACCGGTTGTATGTTAACGTTCTACAAGTGCGTATACCCAGAAGAAACACTATTTTGCCGCGTGTCTCCTTTGTTCTGTTTTATTTCGATCGATGGAACGAGTTATCGCGGCGACCTTGAACGGGCCAACGACTGATACAGATAAACCGTGGACGAGACCTTTCACCCCTGTGTAATTTCAAAATCGTCCCGCGATGGCGTGCCTCTAACGAATCAGTGGAATTACCAATCGACGGTCACGTTTACATGTCGACAGATAAAAATCAGAGTGAACGTGGGGGGAGGGGATTCCAAAGCATCGATCGTGTTCGAAACATTCGCTAGTAAAAGACAACGACCACCCGGTGTAATTGTTATTCACGAAAACGTTGTTGGGAACAGAGATGAGCAATTTCATTATCTAGACAAAGAGTTTCGCGTAACGAATAAAAGATAAAAGTAATTCGTCATTTTTAAATTTCCTTTCACAATTTTTTATGTTGTCTAAAACAGCACTTGGTATATAATAGGGAGGGAAAATTAAGAGTTTCGGGAAAGTATGAAAATAATACTTATCTACGTTCATCTAATCTGTCGGAACAGGATGTTTGGGATACTCAAATTGCTCAATAATCATTTGCTTCCCCAAGGGTTAAACGTGGAAATTCCAGTTTTTATAATAAAATAATACATCTTGTCGAATGAGTCACCATTTGGCAAACAATTCTTTACTCTCATTAACAGTTTAAAGCTCACGGTGATGCCTTTAGATACTACACCTTTGTTAGTCGAATCGAACTGTGCCCAACTCTGATTAGGGGGAGGGCTGTTCTGTGATCTTGACAAGCACAGAACACGGAGATCGTCAATTCGGTTGATTTATTATTCTCCAGGACAACCGCCCATGTGATCACCTGGCAATGGGTCAACCAGTCGTTCAACGCGTTGGTCAATTACACGAACCGCAGCGGTTCCAGTCCGATCCCAATGAACACGATCCTCCAAAGCTACGCGGTGGCGACCAGCGGCGCCGTGTTGACCGCCCTTGGGTTGAACCGACTTCTGCGTAACGCACCGCCTCTGGTCGGCCGACTGGTCCCGTTGGCGGCTGTGGCCGCTGCGAATTGCGTGAACATCCCGTTCATGAGGATGTCCGAGCTACAGAATGGCATCGAACTGCAAACGGAGGAGGGCCTAAAGGTTGGGAACAGCAAACGCGCAGCCAGGAAAGCGATCACGGCTGTGACTCTGTCGCGAATTCTGATGGCCTCACCGAGCATGAGTACGATTTTTACTTGGTTTCTAACATTATGGACTTTTGGTAGTGAACAGAATTTAAACCTTTGTGACCTGAGTCGTTTTTCATATTTCTTTCCAGCTACGTACCCTCACGAGCAAACTCGGATTCCACTAGGGGAATAAGTGGCGAAGAGGAAAGGCCTCCCGCCATTTGATAAATTTATTTCAACAACTGATATGAATGTTAAATTGTATATTAATTTATATTATTACGGAGGTATTCCCTAACATTTTTCCCTAGTGGAAGCCGAGTTTGCTCGTCAGTGTACGTAATTGCTGCTGTTTGCACTGCACCCTACGGTTTCTTTATTACGATCAGTATTTTCATGTCTATCTATGCTAGTAGATACCCCTTTTGCCTCTGTGCCGTTCAGTTTGTAGGAGCTGGGCACTTCAGCAGCACCCGACTGTATGTTAAATCCCTATGTCAATAAAAGAACCCCCTGTATGGAGTCAATGGATAACCTTTGATGGCTCCTTTAGCAGTTAAGTGTATTTCACGACCGAAATCGATGCAAATTAATGTACATTACATTTTCGCAGTATTGGCGCCCCTGGTCATGAACTTCATGGACCGGCGACAGACGTTACGTAACGCTAGATGGGCCGCGGTACCGATACAAGTTGCGATTTGCGGAGTGTGTCTGACGTTCGCGACGCCCCTTTGTTGCGCGCTGTTCGTACAACGGGTGCCGATCTCGGTGGACGAATTGGAGCCGGATGTACGGGAACAAATAACGTCCAAACATCCCGATGTTCGCACGGTGTATTATAATAAAGGTCTCTGAAGGACTCGAAAGACTGATCGCACTGACAATATATATCAACGACGAAGATCACCGTGGCTTTCAGCTCACGGGGAGCAATGTTACTTACTGTAGAATCGCGAGCGATTCGACGATCTTCGTGTTCCAGGAACACGATGTTATCCTCACGGTATGGTCGTACGAGTAATCGTGGTGATTACCATTCGAGAAACACAATTGACGAAGACAATAAACCAGTACAATAAAGTGATCGTTTTATTCTATACGTGTTTACAAGTAATTTTACTCGTTCAACGACCGGTAATTTAACGTGAGCGTTTCCTTCTTCGTGGGTACGTATGGATCGAACTTCCGCACAGGAGGCAATTTTCTAACCTTTCGACCGTGTCTTCCGTCTTTTCTGTGCCACAAACCGCTTCTCGGCCGATTACCGAGCTCACGGTTCTTCTGCGCGCTGCCGATTGGAGTCGTGCCGTGTTCGATGTTCGACAATCTGCCGACTGTCGCCATGCACGTTTCGTGTAGGCTGAATAGTTTCTTGCTAGGCATTCTGACGATCACACGATCGTCTCCGTCCCGGTTCATAATGGTGCCGAATGTTCCAGCGGCGTGAATCAGAAAGCCACCTAATCCCGGATATTTCTCTACACAGTGAACAATAGTCCCGGCCGGTAACGCGCCTAATGGATAAGCATCCCCTTCGTTCGGTCTGATAGGGTTCCGCGGTATACCCTTATGGGTTCGAAGTATGTCGCCCACTTTCATTTGATCTGTGGCGAGAATATACTTCAACTCCTTGCCACTGCCGACCAGTGCGACATCAGATGTCCTATTGCCGTCGTGGAATATCGCCAGAATCCTCTCCTCCTTTGGCTTCTCGTTCAAGTCGGTTGGTCCATCCCTGATCCAATTGATCCAATGGTACTTGTGCTTAATCCCTCCACCGATGCCAATGACCACTCGTCTTCCTGTTTGGGGTAATAAAATCGGTATAGTTTTAGTATTTCACTCTTAACGTACGATACACGGTTACATTATTCTTGATACGTTTGGGTCTTCAATGATATTTAGTTTCCATTAAATCTGCTGTTCTTCAATGGGTAAATAGACGTTTTCGAGGTAGAAAAACACCTTTACGGTAATTACTAATTATAGTTAATAATTGTACGTTTATAATTATACTGCGGATCTTTCCGCAAAATCGCATTCTTCGGAGGAATTTATAAAGGTACGTGTTAAATAGAAATTTATTTGTTTTTCTGAGACTTGTTTAAGTAATTGTAGAATTATTTAATTAATTTTTGGTTACCTTATCGAATGTTGATAATCGTTCTGCGGTTTATAGTTTGCTCAAAATATCGATCCAACGACTAGTGGCGCCTACTATGGCGGATAGATAACATGTGTACGTTTGACGGTCGCACAATCAAATATGTATTTATGCAAATACTCCGGTCGAAATTAATATCAATCATACATTACTGAATTCATATTTTATCGACTAACAAATACAAACATAAATCGATAAATAGTACGTTGCTTAAACACGTACCTGTTTCGGGATCCCTGCCTCCTAAGTTTGTAACCTCCAAAGGCTCGACCGTGTACTTGTCTTTAAAATGGACAATCCGACGATAGCTTTTCCCCTGAACACCCGGTTTCGGAATTACTTTGAGATTCCATTGATGCCTTTTCTGCACGTAACACGACACTGATGCATTTGCACTATAAAAATCAGCAATTTGTTTCACGAAAGCACGACGGAATAAAGACACGGCGGACATTTTGATACACTACTACTGATTAAGCGGAGCAAGTTAACCGGCCGAGTATGTATAATGAAAAACATTTAGAAAACCGTGTGTTTACGATTATATATTTTTATTGATAGCATCAAATTGTTCGTTGATGTTTTTGACCTGATATTATGCATTAATAACTGATGGTTCGTGCATGTTTAATTAATATTTAATGTTCACTCTTACACCATCGACGGCAAAACGGCCAAACTATTAGCCAATTAGTATCATAGTCCCACCACACGGTGGCGCCACAATCTCCTTTTTTGCTCCCATTATAAATTTAATTCTTAAAACATAAATTAATCTTTCATGATTACTGACAACAACAATTAACAACTATTACTACAAATTTTGTGTTCTTAAAATTGTAAAAAACGCTAAATTTATAAGGGACCTTTAAAAAAGACAGTGGCGCTATTGTACAATAAAAATGTGTTATTATCTAATTGGCTAGTAGCTTAGAAGTTTTGCCGTGGATGGCGCCACAGACGCCTCTACTCAGTTTATTTCACGTGTAAAACAATACAGTACATAAAATATAAATTAGAAACACCTGAACTGACGATTGTTAATAATTATACACTATCGATTTACAATAGTTCAAGAAACAGTTTGTCGCCATGAGGCAAAATACTTAACCGCAATTTTGTAGTATTTCTCTGTGTTTAGATTTCTTTCTTACGGATCGAAGGTGAAGGTTCGTTATAACCTTTAATAATGAGACACAAAGAAATGGTTTCATTCTCGACAGTTGACAGTTGAATTGCCAAAATCGGTGAACAGTTATTTTGACCATTCGCGCAGGTATATTTTTCCCTTACCTGCTGTCGAAAACTGTCCTCAATCTCGGGCCGGGACACAGATGGCCCTCACTACGTTTTCAACGGTCTTCGGTGCAGGGTGAAATTGATAGTGTTACATTTAGTGTCAGTGTTAACGTTCCTGCAGTATTTGATTACATAGACATTGCCTCTCGTAGTTTAACGGAAAGATTATAAAAACAGTTGATGTACATTTAAAAATTCGTGGTGAGTGAGTGTCTTCGATACAAGAAGGAGTTCCTTGGATCAACAATCAAACAGTGGCTGTAACGAAGGAAGTCAAAATCGATGGTTGAAAGTCAACGAACGGTTCGCGGGGCCACGGCAACAAACAGGCGGCGCCGAATTCATCGGGTACGTAACTGGGTCCATTATATTTATACGAAAGATAAAACACCGTTATCGGAAATCAATAAATTATTTTCCGTACTGACGAGCAGTACACCGTCGTTTCACGGTAAATTTTCATCGGCGTTAAAATATAAAATGCATTATCACGCGCGAGCATCAAATCCGCCGCTTCCATTACGCAAAAAAATGCGCGGCGAGCCGTTAAACAAGGACACGCTTATTTTGTACGAGACGCAGTTCCTACAGAAGATCTGGCTCCTTTAATTTTTCTTAGAACCATGCAAAAATCGCATAGAAATGCGAAATCTAAGCTAGTATAAAAGTTCAAAGTTCAAAGTTTTACAGTTTATTATCTTCAAACATTACAAAATTTTACCGTCAGCCCAACAAACGTATCTGTCTAATATATTATATCGTATATAAAGCTGCGTCTACACTATACATATACGTAGTGTAAACGCAGCTTTACATTTTGGTGTCGGATGACGTAGTATGTAGTATATACGTCTTTTCAAACACAAAAGGTGAGAGCAATTGACGTGGTAATACGTCTTTACTACAAATAGAATAGTAAAAATATAGGAAAGAATCGTTCTTCCTATACAGGGTGGTTCACCATACAATACCACTTCGATTTACATGACTGTTATTATTTGTAGCGAAAAATGGTTTACATAGAGTTGTATGGTCTCAGAAGGGCTGCACATTTTAATGTTAATAGTCTTTCTCAGCCCCACCTGAAACCATCCCACTCTACGTGAACCATTTTTCGCTACAAATAATAACAATCACGTAAGTCGAAGTGGTAATATCCGACAAACTACCCTGCATATAAAGATGGACAAATAAAATTTAAATAGTACTTCCTAAATATATTTCGAACACCTGAAGTAGTATATATATATATTAGCAAATACAAAAACCCTCCCGTCAGCAAAGCAAGACATCCCAAAATCCAACAACCACCTAAACAGACCTACAGCTCGTCCACTCCAGTCTTATCTCCGTGTACACCTGAACCATAATCGCGTCAAGAAACACTTAAAAATTACAAAATCAGGAAACCCTCGACGACACAACGACCAGGTTTCGAGAATAGTCGCGAAGAAGTTCGTCGTAGTACATTGAGCAGCGAGAGAACGCGGGTACGCGGTTCCTCGTGAAGGGGGTGAGCCCACGACGGGTGCGAGTGAGAGACCTAACAATGGGCGGTGGAGGGGAGGGGAGCAGCGGGAGGGGTGAAGAACGCTTAATTGGCCTGGGGTAATTATTTTATTAAGTGAGAAGATGGCGGATGGAATGCTAAGAGAGAGCATGCTGGTGCGGTCTGGCGGGTAGGCCGTCGGTTGCGCGGGGGTGGGGGGTGGCGGAGGAGGGGCGAGCAGTGGCGGAGGCAGTGGCGGCAGATGATGGTGTGGAGAGCGTTTAAAATACCTACGTACCGCGGACACGTGAATACCGCGCGTATACTCACCCCCTCCCCCTGGTTTTTCCCGTGTATTACGGAAGGGGGGGGGGGGAGCGCGGTCGCAACTTTCCAACGGTGTTCGTGCCGCTCGCGTACACGCGTGATTCTCTCTCATCGTCGCGTAACAGGATCGCGTGGACCTCGTACGTTCGCGGTCTGAGAGCGAGAAGGACGACCAGAGAAGAGGGTTTCTATGAAACACGAGCGAGAAAGAGTGAGAGGGTGGAGGTGAGTAGAGGGTGAGGAGAGAGGGTTGCTTGCGTGCGCGCGTTCAACGTTTCTCTGTTGGTCGCGAAGGAGGAACATCTATTACCCGGTACATAGACCATGAGGGGTAAAGGGGCAGGGAGGGGGGGCGATGGAATCGTCGAGGGAGGGGTGCGGGCAAGAGTAGTCGAGCGGCAAATTGTCCGCCATCTTACCCACCTTATACCTTATCTCACACCCTCACCGTAACCACCCTTATCCCCCTTCCTCCACGGTCTCCTCCTCCAGTTCTTCTCATCCTACACATTGCTTTCTCTGTCTCTCTTTCTCTCCGTCTGCCCCTCTTCAGTCCTCCATATTCGCCCCTCGGAATACCACCACCTTTACTTCGCTTTCTCTGACGTTACCCCGCACCGCCTCGAAAGCTTTAGATTACCTACCCCTTATAAGCGCTCGTGTTGCCCATTTATTACCACGACTCTCCGCGACTACTACCGAGAAGAGGACCGAGGAGACCGCCACCACCTCCGCGAATCGCGAGCCCTTCTTTTTCTTCCATCCTCCTCCCACCACAGTTCGGTTCCTTCCTTCTCGTTCCTAGCGTCCGTCCACGCCTCTTGCGCCTTCACCGTAGGCGTTTGCACGTTTATTTCTTCGTTCCTTACGTCTCACGCGACGCGGTGTTCTCGTTACACTTAACGCTATCCGCCGTTATATAGCCGCCGGGGCAATGGGCGGGCGAGAGGAGAAACTCGAATAACACGATTAGGTCGAATTTACAGGAAATGGCGTGCACGTCGACACCCGGTGATCTCCGGGACGTGTGTTCGCGGCCGGGAGACGAGCCAAGGATATTTAAGTTTGATGTCCGGATTTCACGGTAGACCGGGCCTGTATACCTTCTTTTTATTTTCTTCTACGTCTATCTCTAGCGACGACGGGACATGTCTGTGTGTGTGTGTTTATTCGAGGCGTTATATAGCAACGTCCAGGAACGTTTAAAGCGATCATCCCCCTCACCGCGACCGGAGGAAAGTTTATCAGGTCGAGGCGAGATTCTCGGCGGTGGATATTTCTCAATATTAGTCACGCGAGAAAAGTTTCGGCGTGGGGGTGTCGGGAAAAAGAGCCCGGAGGAGAATGAAGCACAAAAGAAAGAAAAAAAAAAGAAAAGAAAGACGACGAGAGAAACGATGGTCTCGGTCGATGAAATGTTTCCGCAGGGACGAGTTGCGGATCAACTGCTCGCGAAAGAAAGAAAAAGCCTGACGTGGGACAGAACGACTACGGAGTAACGGAGACAAAAGCCACGTGAAAAATAAAACGTAAAGCGCTAGAGAGCAAAAAAAAAAAAGAAACTAGAAACGAACTGGGGTAGCGAGGGGGGGAGGTTGAGAAGTGCGACGCGGAGATGGCATTTCGCATCGTAAAGTTTCGTTGGCGACCACGGAACAGAGACAGGAAGAAGGGTGGGTGGGTGTGGATGGCGATAGAATGTCGGAGGACTGCTAGACGAGAAGGATCCGATATGGAAACGGCACGATAAAGAGAGAAACTCCGTTGACGGGTGGTTGCCTCGGACTTGTTCTCGTTCGTTTCCTCTCGATTCGTCGAGCGTAGAGAAGAGCCGTACCGTTTCGTAGGAGCCGGGGGACAGACGGGGATGACGGAAGGGAATCGGGTTTTGATCGGAGGGATGAGTGAAGAGGAAACTGGAGAGAACGGAACAGTAGGAGAGAACATAGAGAGAAAAGGAGAAAACAGTTGGGCGAAGGGGGGTGGGTTGGGTGGGTGGTATGATACCGAAACGACGATGGGTAGCCATCCACGGAGCAGGGAAAGAAAGAGAGGAACTGAACGTCGGGATGAGAGGATTGCCACGAGGAGGTGAGGAGTCAGGAGGATGCGGTCGAAGGAGGGTGCAAATAATAACAATAATCATATTTCCCGGCAACATGGCCGCTGAAAGAGGGTGGCCGCGCAAGCCCTGGGACGCGTAGGAGGGAAACACGATGGTAGGGGATGAGGCGCAGCCTGGCAGCCCAGGGAGGGTTATCATAATATTACAAACCACCGCCGCAGGGATGTATCTATACAACCCCTCGCCCTCACCGTCGTTCACCATTCCTATCTCTTTCTCTCTCTATCAATCCCTCTTCGAACTGAGCTCGTATCTTGCTCTCTCGTACACATTGGTCCTGTCCGGATACCGAACCGTTCTACTCGGCCTCTCACGGAAGGACTCACGTTCACCCCCCACCTACCCCCTCCCCTACTCAGGCTAGCCAAGTCCTCCGCGAGAGAGATTCGCGCGAATCGT